CAAATAAATTGGAAATATCTTAAAGAATACTTAAAAGGGAAAATCAAATTGGACATATACATTTCTATGGGAAAAGAAATAAGAATTGCGAGAGGAAGACAAAAGAATAAAGGAGACAAATAATTACCCTCTGTGGACTGAACGGAAGTTGTATATATATGTGTGTACACCCCCACCCGAGTAACCCCCTCCCTCTATCTCCTCACCCCCCTCTTTTTCCCCTCCCATACCCACCCCCAATTCTATCCCACACAATCTGTCTAAACTCTGTGACTTTCTATCACAATGACTGTTCCCCCTCTTTCGCTGTAAAGGAAAAATTGTATAAAAATATTAATTAAAAAAAAAAAAAAAGAAAACACATATTTCTGATGGTCTTAGCAGGGATCCTCAAACTTTTTAAACAGAGGGCCAGGTCAGAGTCCCTCAAACTGTTGGAGGGCTGGATTATAATTTGGAAAAAAAACATGAATGAATTCCTAGGCACAGCGCACAGATCTTATTTGTAGTGCAAATAACACTTAAAAACAATACAATAATTAAAATGAAGAACAATTTTAACAAATATAAACTTATTAGTATTTCAATGGGAAGTGCGGGTCTGCTTTTGGCTGATGAGATAGGATTGTTGCTGTTGTGTGCTTTCAAGTAGTTTCAGACTTAGGTTGACCCTGAGTGAGGGCCGGGTAAATTACCTTGGAGGGCCGCATACAGCCCTCGGGCCTTAGTTTGAGGACCCCTGGTCTTAGGAACCCCTTTGGCAGAGAAGGCTGAAGATCTCTCCGCCTCTCCTTGTCTTCCTTTTTGGAAACAGATGGTGAGTCCTCCCACAAAAAGCCCTCCTCTTGCTATGATTGTAGGTGAACTATAAATCCCAGCAACTATAAGTCCCGGATGTCAGGGTCTGTTTTCCCCCAAACTCCACCAGTGCTCACATTTGGGAATATTAAGTATTTGTGCCAAGTTTGGTCCAGATCCAGCATTGTTTGAGTCCACAGTGCTCTCTGTGTGTAGGTGAACTACAACTCCAAAACTCAAGGTCAATGCCCACCAAACCCTTTTGGTATTTTCTGTTGGTCATTGGAATTCTGTGTGCCAAGTTTGGTTAAATTCCATCATCGGTGGAGTTCAGAATGCTCTTTGATTGTAGGTTAACTATAAATCCCAGCAGCTGCAACTCCCAAATGACAAAATCAGCCCCCCCCCCCAACCTGCCAGTACTCAAATTTGGGCGTATCAGGTATTTCTGTCAAATGTGGTCCAGTGAATGAAAATACATCCTGCATATCAGATATTTAAATTATGATTTGTAACAGTAGCAAAATTACAGTTATGAAGTAGCAACGAAAATAATTTTAAGATTGGAGTCACCACAATATGAGGAACTGTATTAATGGTTCGCAGCATTAGGAAGGTTGAGAAAGACTCCTAGGCATATATGCAAGGGTTCCTTAGCTAGGAAATTATGATGGAAAGCAGTTCTTCAGGACAGACATTTTGGAAACAATCAACTGGTATCTTCCATGTCTGAAGGGCAATGAATCCACTTCAGGTTTTCATCTGAGTTAGAAATGTTGAACCCCACCCTGCAAATACATTAATCGCCTTGGATAGCTCCTATAATGCTTTCAAAAGTCTGGACTGAATTCAGTGCCTACTGACATGGAAGCCACTGGACTGTTGCAAGCTTAGGCAAAAGGACTAATGCATTTCAGTGGACGTGGCTGCTATTCAGTTCAATGCAACGCATTTTTACTGCATTACAGAAGCAGCTGGAAATTGGCATAAATAGAAATACAAGGGAGCTGGAACGTGACTAAGAACTGTATAAGTTTCCCCTGGTTGAGACAGTGAACGTTTCATTGAGTATCTTTGAGAAAATTCACATGTGAAACCAACCCACATCGACCTCAGTTGAGTCTGTCTTGCAGAACTGAGAAAAGGTTCAACTTCCTCCAACTCGAGATGGAACACATTTGCCCTGAAATCTCCTTTATGCAAATCTGGTTATTGAAGTTGAACATTCACCAGCAGTTCTCAAATACTCAAATATTTGATATGGATTTCTGGGATAGTTATTACTGTTTTGAATAGGCCAATAAGAAAATTAATTTTAGACGAATGTATGTTTACTGTAACCAAACCACAGCTACGTAGCGACAGATAAACTATCAAAGTTTTTTTTGAGCAACACACATGTACGTTAATGCCGCTAGGCGTCGCTAGGGGTCGCTGTTTTCAAAATGGCGGAATCAAGCAAAGAGAAGGCGTTTTGTGTGATGACATTTGCTAAAACAATGTCAGTAATTACGGTCCAGCGAGAATTTCAAGGGTTAGGGTTAGGGTTAGGGTTAGGGTTAGGGATAGGGTTAGGGTTAGGGTTAGGGTTAGGGTTAGGGATAGGGATAGGGTTAGGGATAGGGATAGGGTTAGGGATAGGGTTAGGGTTAGGGTTAGGGTTAGGGATAGGGTTAGGGATAGGGTTAGGGATAGGGTTAGGGTTAGGGATAGGGTTAGGGTAGGGTTAGGGTTAGGACCTCAACGAACACCTTCCCAGACGTTGCTGCATTCGATGCCATTACGTCGGATGTGCTGCAACGGATGTGGAATGAACTGGACTATCGCTTGGACATCTGCCGTGTCACACGGGGCGCCCATATCGAACATCTCTGAAGGTGAGACAAAACTTTGATAGTTTATCTGTCGCTACGTAGCTGTGGTTTGGTTACAGTAAACATACATTTGTCTAAAATTAATTTTCTTATTGGCCTATTCATTTTGACTAACCCTGTACATACAATATCATTTTATGATGAGCTAGATGTTGTTCTGTGTAATCCAGTAGGACTACCAGGAGTTATTGTTCCGGATGGTAAAAATATGTCAGAAATCTCTCCGCTTCCAAAGATTTTATGGCAAAGTGAGCAAAACGCAGGCCTTTCACATGGA